CATTTCAGCCTCTCCACCCCAGACAAAAACTAGTTTGCCAAATTAGGCCACAACATTTCATTTAAGAAGGTCTGAAGGAAGCAGCTATTTCTTTTCATAAGCAAATACAATCACAATGGACAACACTTTTTCTCTAGTGCATGTGTGTGAAATTATGTTACATGTAAGTGAGAAAGAAGTGTGGGCCCGATGGAGTGGAATGTCCTTTTTAATCAACTTCTCTTACTTTTTAGAAATACCTTCTATTCAGAGTTTAGTCATGGCTCAGATGTAGTCTCAATGGAACTAAATTCTGAGGGCTGGCCGGTTAGTTCAGTTGGTTAGAGCATGGTACTGATAACACCAAGGTCCTGGGTTTGATCCCTGTACTGGCCAGCTGCCAAAAAAAAAAAAAAAAGAACTAAATGCTGGGCTGGCTCATCGACTCTGGATACTGACCATCTATTATGTGCCAGCACTTAACTATTGGGTTAAGCACTGTGAATACAGCAGTGAGCAGTGAATAACACCCTCATCATGATGGAACTTACAGTCTAGCTAGATTAAGGACATCTAGTTTTCATTTCAAGTCCTATATCTGAATTTTAGAGCTTCAGGGGATTTTGAGATAGCCTATAGTCTGACCTGTTCTTCAGATAGATGATGAAATTGGGAGCCCAAAAGTTAGGAGAGTCTCTTCCCCAGAGTCAGTAACTCTAATAGCAATGGCATCTGGGTCTCCTGCTCTCTGCCTGATATTCAATTCCATTTTCTTGCTCCGAAGCTTTTTTTTTTTTTTAAATTCTGCCTTCCATCAAGTCCTTACGTTATTATTTTTTGTCTTCTCAAGATTTCTTTGATGTCTGTGGTCTGCTTTCGATGCTAACATTGATCTTCCAATTTTCTAACCTTATTTTTTTCATTGTTGGCCCTATTCCATTTGCCTGACCACATACCTGGCAGATCTCTCTGTCCTGATAGTTTATTAAATCCTGACAATCCTGGGGTGCCACAGAGCTTCTGAAGACCTGGAGAAGGACAGCAGTCTGCAGAGACCCTCTTCAGACCTTCCAGACCAAAGCACTGACCCTTAGCTCCTTAGAGGTAGATTTGCCCAAGGGCAAGGAAGACCTGCAGATGCAGTTCTAGCTTTTCAGACACCCTTAGCCTAGAGAACTTCGTTTGGGGAGAAAAATGAGGACATGAAATCGCTTGCTGTGGTACCTATCATTCTCTTAAGGACAGTGAAAACACAGTCTGTCATCTTTGACATTTTAATTGAAAGAAAAGCTTACATAGATTTCAACCGTAAGCATTATGTTTATACAAGTGTATAAAGAGGAATAATCTGTCAAGTTGGAAAACTCTTAATGCTGCAGGACTCAGTTTAGTAATTGAACAATCCAACATGAGCTCACACATCTTACCTTGTTCCATGCCTCAATAATTTTTAGTAGAAATACTTTACCTAGAGGCACATGGTTATTAAAAAGGAGGCTCGGCTTGCTCAAAGTCTGGAATTATTAGCTCATGACAACAAGCCTGCACTGGAGAAAGACTGTTGGGTCTTTGTTTTCACAACTTTATTGCAATTTGCCATCTTATTTTCAGAGTCTAACTGATGTGTTGTTTGGGAAGTTTTGTTTTATTTTTTAAAGGAAGAAAACATAATTTCACATGGATAAGTGATTTCTTATATTAGCAGTATTACAGTATTTTACTACTTCATGGAAAGTCCAGGGAGCAGTGTGAATATCAAAGGAAATGAACTGTGAATTTATTTTAGCATAAAAAATCAATAATAACTTAGTTATGGGAGCCATCCAGGTGTGATGGGGGAAGCCCTATGTTGCAAGTTCAGTGTAAGCCCTGCTCCCTTACATGACCCGTGTGACCTTGGGCAAGTTTAAATGTTTCTGAATTCAGCTTACTCCTGAGGAAAACGGGAATAATATGACCCACCTACCACACTGCATCGTTTCAGGTCACATAAAATTAAGGATGTGAAAATACTTTGAAAAATATGAAGCACTGTTTACATGCAATATAAAAAGTTTTGTGCAAATATAATGCATTAAATAATAGTAATTCTTATTTTAATATACACAAAGGGAATTACAAAATTAATTCAATTATTCTGATACCACTCTAACCTCCGTGATATGAATATTCTGGACAAATGATTGTTTCTTGGGCCTAGCTACGTAAATCATGACCTCGGTCTAGTTGTTTATACACCTAATGATGAGTAGGCACAAACTTTTTTCGTTTTTGTAGTTTTAAAAGCCCAAGCAAGAAGCCTAGAAAACTTCAACATTTGGAGATTCGGGAGATAATTTACAGAATCTGTGTAAAACAATAACCTTAAAATTATTTAGAATCCAAACACACAGGGATCTCAAACATTTTTTCCCTCCAAGTATACATCGCTAATTGGTCTGATTGGTATCATTAGGAAATTATTGTAATCCCAAGGGAACCCTGTACTCTGACCTGCTTTCTTAATTAATGAGGAAATACTTGATACGTTAAAATCTGTAGATTAATGCACAGTGTGGAAATAACTTAACCTAATAAGAACATTGAATTAAATAAATCATACCATTCCCCAACCATTCTATACAAGTTTGGGGAAGAATTAAAAACTTGTTTTAAATATAATTACTTTTGCATTTCCATCTGCATCACCGTTAAGTTGTTCAACTGATTTGTGTTTAAAAAAGAGCACATCAATAAAACTGATAACCACGATTATTTCTAACATGTCAGGTTGGAGACAGAATGTAAATGGTGATCATATGTTGCCCTTTGTTCATGAAGAAGATATTGCAAAACAACATAGAAAAGAAGAAATGTCTTTAGTTGTCTTTTCTATAACAGTTTTGTTTGTCCCTAATTGTCTATACTTGAAGCATTTCCCCTGGGAAACAGAAATATGGTAAAAGGCTGTATGTATGTATGTGTAGATGTATGTATTTACATCTATTGTGATGGATATACAGAAGAATAGAGAGGTGGATGATTAGCTACATGTAGGGGTACTCTCAGAGTCTTTTGCATGTGAAAGTAGGGAGTTCCGATTATTAATCTTGGACTTAGAGATTAAACATTGGACTTAGAAACTATTATTAAACATTATATGCTTTGATATACAACTATATTTTCTTTTCAATAAAGTTCTCAAACTAAACATTAAAACTGGAGAATATAAACAAACACTGGCTATTGACTGAGCCCTATTTTGTACCTATCTGACTCTGAGATTTTAAGACCCAGTGAAGTCACAACGTACCATATTATTTTGGAGCAATTGAAACCAGCGGTCCCCTTGAACTATAAAAGCTAAAGATCCTTCAAAATCCCTGGTAGTCCTTACTGTCAATCCATACTCCAGAGGTCCCAAGGCCACATGTAAATATCCATAGTACTTACTTCATTAGCTTATCTGAAAATGCTCAGTTCATTGTTACAAGCTTCTTACATTAGTCTGTCTATGTATCCACTCACACACATGTTCTACTGACAAAACCGGGTGCAGTTTGTGTTCATCTGCATAATCTCTGTGGGAAGGCTTTATGTTCTTTCATATTTTCACATATACACCTTCCTGAGCGTATAAATCTTGACTAATTTATGGCTAATCCTTCTATCACAGTGTGTGACTGAGATAGCTCTATCTCCAAAACAGTTCTTGGGCAAAAAGAGTGGAAAACTTCATCTTTGGAATTACAACAGCAAAGCAAAGGAAGAACATGCTGGCATTTTTTCCCCATTTCAGTCCCCTACTTCTCATCACCCACGGGAGATAAATGACCTGCAAAGCAACAGCTCCTCCTGCCTCTGAAGGGGCTGCCCTCCCCTGAAGCCCAGAAAAGCACTGCCTGCACGGGGACATCTCTGTCTGCAACCTGTACCCAGCATTTAGGACGAGGGAGTTTTCTTCTTCTTTTTTTTTTTTTTTTCAGAAAATGCATTAATTCTGGAAGCACTACTTTCTTGCATGACATTAAGGATAAGATTGTTTAACATGGAAGACTACTCAGAGGTCCTGAGAGGTTTTTGTTTGTTTGTTTTGTTTTATGTGTTTGTTGTTAAATCTTTAATGGTTTGACATTTATACAACTCCCCAGAGCAAAAGCATCAGGAGATTGAGAATTTAGCTGCAGAGGTCACTTGTTTGCCATTTTTAATAAACACAAATAATTCCCTTTTTCCCTCAGCCCCACATTCCCTGGCTCATTAAATCAATTTAAGGCCCTTAGATTTTTTTTTTTTCTGGCAAATTGAGGCAAAAGCTTGAACTATGTACTCCCCCGAGGAATGCTTACCCAAGTCCTGCAGGTCAAGCCCAAATCAGTTTCTGTCAAACAGCCTAACACCTCGAGTTATTATGAAATGAGAGATTGGTTATTGGGGGCTGGGCTCTGCACTGGCCCTGAGAAAGGCCAGCTGCAGTGCCGCCCCAAGATCCGGCTGCTTTGGTTTGTGTCCTGACTTTAGTTTTTTCCACTCACAGTGGAGAACTATGAAAAAGTCAAAATGGATTTCTGTCAGGAATTCATGAATGAAATCCAGGGAGTGAAAGTGTATCCAGAGCAAAGCTGGGTGGGCTTCCAGGCAGAGGTGTGGGAGAGTGTAGATAAAACACATGTACACAGATCTCAGGCTCTAAGACACTTCAGAGGGCTGAGACTTCCAAGTAAACACAGGATTTCACCACAAAGTTCCTTTCCTAACATGCAGGGGTTGTAGGAGATTTACTGACTTGTTTCTACTGAACATCGGTTAGATAATGGAGGTCAGGAAATGAAGTGGAATTTGATATATTAACTAGGAAGCAGCAAAGGAAGCCAGGCTTGTGTTTTATTTGTTATTATTTCCCTAATATCCTCAATTATGCTGCTCTCCATCAGTGGGTCTGATCTGGTGCACATGTGAGGGTGTTGTCCCCGTTGTTCTGGACACTGGTGAAACAGGCCCAGGGCATCAGGAGTAATGTTTGTTGTTTTTCTTTGTTCCAGGCCTGTCCCAGGCTCTCTATCTTCTCTGCTACATCTCCACAACAGACAGAGACAGCCCATGCCAGCCTCCATGCCCGGGACCCTGCCCAACCCTACAATGCCTGGATCTTCCGCCGTCTTGATGCCGGTAAGTGTTTCTGTGTGTCTCACAGTATCTTCTCGCTTGCTCTGAGCTTGCCACTCTTGAAAGAGTAAAGGAAGAGCTGAACTCTAAGCTTCCTAGAACGAAGGCAGCTGCTGCTTAATGGATGATTGAGCTGTGTGTGATTTAGCTTTGAGGGCCCAGTTGCCTGTCCCAAGGCCTCTTGCTGGCTATCCCATCCTTTATTGCATTGCCATGAGGCATGGTCCTATCTTCCTGCTGGTGACGAGCAAGCCTATGACACCCAGGGAATAGAATTTGTTCAGGGAGACAGGTTTTAGAACTACTCCAACGTCCACAGCTTGGACTGTATATAGAGTGTCCTTAAATTGCCAATGAGTGGCCAAGCCAGGATCCAGAGTAGTAACTGTAATCACAACAATAATAAAGATCAACAAAAAACAGAATAGCTGCTAATATGAATTCATGCTCATCATGTTCTGTTATTCATGGTAGCAGCATTTATTAAGGGCTTACCATATGCTAGTCACTTTCCAAGCACTTTGTCAGCACATGAAACAATCCTGTGGGATAGGTCTGCTATTCTCCCTTTGTGAATGAAGAAAGCAGGGCAAGTAATTTGTTTGGCTGGGAAGCACAGCAGCTGTTTTGAACCCAGGAATTCTGGCCCCAAGGCTCATTCCCTCAACCATTACATGATACATACATTCTCTCTCATCACTCTCACAACAAACCTGTGAGGTAGGCATGCTATTATACTCATTTTACAGATGAGGAAACTGAGGCACAAAGAGGCTGAATAACTTGGCTAAGGTCACAGAGCTAGGAGGTGATGGAGTAGGATTTAAGTCCAGGTAGTCTGACTCCCCAGCCTCCATGCGTAATCATTATATTATACTGCTACCTTCTGAAAACAATAGATAAATGCAGAAGGGAGATCCAGACTGTTCAGAGGAAACCTTTATCTCCTTCCATGGGATCTCCACCCTCTACCTCTTCTGCCTCCTCCTTGCTATGGGCTTTGGTGAAGATGGCTGTGTTATTGTTCAAAGGCCACAGGAGTTCTCAAAAGCCCTAGAGGTGATATGGCAATTCAATTGAAACCCTCCTACAACAATATTAACAATACATAGCCTTTTAGCATTTTAAGAAATTGTCTACATTATTATTTAATTTTATTCTCACAGCAGTCCTGTGGTGACTGGCCGGTGCAGGGATCCAAGCCCTTGACCTTGGTGTTAGAAGACTGCTACTTAACTAACTGAGCTGACCAGCCCGCCACAGTGATTGTTGATGTACTCATTTTACAAATGTAAATCTGGAGAGTAAGAAGTTGAGGGAATTGTGTAATGTCACACAGCCTGCCAGTGAAGACTTGTGACTGGAACCCACACCTCAGTTCACAGAGTAGCTCAACTCATCCCTGGTAGAGCAATTTGCTCGTGTGTCTCAGTGTAAGCAGGAGTGGAGAAGGGCTTGCTGAACTCAGTGTAGAGAAAGGGACCTCCCTACTATAAATACTGGGTAGACCAGGCTAGAAACAGTTTTTGCAACAGTGAGCCAGAGGACAGATTGATCTCATTGGCTTTACCTGCAGTGTTCTCCTTACACCCCTTTAGATGAAGGAAACCAGCACCATCAATGTAATCATCCTGGGTTTTACTCAACCAACTAATTGCATGAAGATTTCCACCACAAGCTGTCTTCATTTAGGCTCTTGTCCAAGATTAGTTTCTTTTTAGAACTTCTATGCATTTTCCAGAAAAATACCACTGCAGAGACCTTTCTTTCTATTTGGCTAAACTGTGTACCATTCCCAGGGACAAGGGTGGGACACTTGGGCTGAAAGAGCCCAGAGGAACGGTGCCTGGTGCCGGTTTCTGCCACATCAACTCATTGTACAACTTGACCTCCTATTGATGCTCTGAAGTAGAAACAGAGGCTCAGGTGCAGGGTCCAGGGCCAGTGTAGACAGAAAGTCAGGGAAGCCACCCCCAAGAAGCTCCCAAACCTGTCAGTGACGTGTACAGCTACCATGACAATAGGTGTCAATCTAGAACAGTGATTCTCAACTGGGAGTGATTTTGTGTCCCGGGTGATATTTGGCAATATCTGGAGACACTGTTGGTTGTCACAATTGAGGCAAGTGGGAGGTACTGGCATCCAGAGGGTAAAGGTCAAGGATGCTGCTAAACATCTTACAATGCTCAGAACAGCCCTGCAACAAAGGATTATTTGGCCCCAAATGCTAATAGTGCTAGACTTGAGAAGCCTTGGTCTTGAGTGACGCTAATGTTACTAGTGAAAATTAACATAAGATCTCTAAAAAGTATAACCCTAAGAGTCCCAGGCCATTGAAATCTGGGCCTTTTCTTCCTTATTATCATGTCCCCAGTTCCTGTGCTATACCTTTGTCATTTCAAGCATGGCAAAAGGGGAGTATCTTCCCCTAGAGTTTCTGCCCCGGGAAACTAAGATTCCCTGGGTGTAGAAAATAAGTCTATGACTTCAGATGAAGGTGAGATTCTTAACTGACTTGTAACGCATGCTCCCAGGCCACACATTTTACAAAGGCTGGGTCGAAACAAGATGATGAATTTGTTCATTCATTCATTCACTCATTCATTCCACGAACTTTTGTTGATCACCTTCTATGTGCCAAGTACTGTGCTGTGCTAGATGCTGGGGAGAGGTGAAGAACGAGGCGGGCATTGCCTTCAAGGAGTTCACTGCGGTGTTTTTTCTTATCTCGAAAGTCAAATGCTTTAATAATTTGGGAACATGAGCACCCATTTGTAATCACAAAAGCTCAGTGAACTATGACATTCTAGCTCCAGTTTTCCGGTGTGTGAGAACAGTGAACTTCTTCACCTGGGTTGCCCAGTGTTCAGCAAGGCCACTCCCATCTGCAGCCTCTTGATTCTCCCCAACTCGTGAAAGTCAAGCTTGTGGCGCAGACAGAGCCTTGTTAGTGCAAAGCACCAAATAGTCATTTTGAACAGGCTCTGATGACACTCCATGTGTGTGAGACAACCATCGTTAAACAGAAAATGCAATTTTTTTTTATAGATAGAGAAATCAGCCTGTTTAAAACTGGTATTTGTGAGTCACAGGGTAGAAATAGTCATAGACTATAACTTTTCCAAAAAGTGGGAAGCCTTGCTGACCATGGGTCCAGAAGCCGCAAGCAGACTGCTCTCACCTTTTTGTGTAACTAGCAGCTTGGAAAACTCTGGACAATCATTTGTTCCTCTGAAAGATCCTTCTTTGGAAAACTGAAAGCAAAAGCTCTTTTGGGCTTTGGTGTTCCTCCTCAGGAGGGCCACCCATTAGAATAAAGGGTCAAATGCTTTTCCAACTCTCCCATCCCCCAGCCTTTGGAAGTGGGAGTTATAAGTTTATACACACTTTTTAGAGCAATGAAACTCTTGAATTCCTCACAACTTAACAGAGTATGTGAACGTACTTAATAGCACTGAACCTAATGTACTTAATGGCACTTAAAAATGGTTAAATGGTAAATTTTATGCTATGTATATTTTACCACAATTTAAGAAATAATTTTTAAAAAAAATGAGTACCTAGGCTGCCCGGAAATTTAGGGTGTATGTGGGAGTGACCATTTTATTTTACTAAATTGGTAGGGCCTCAAAAAATGTTACTGAAGTGCTCTGGAATGTATAGAAAATTCGTCCTCATTGGCTTCTCGAGAAACAGTTTCCCACATGCACACACTGCCAGATAACTGATCAGCTAATTTAGGAGAAGGTAGGGCTGATGGTGCTTTGCTTTCACAGGGAGTATCCACCCATCAGTGAGAGGAGAGCTGTTAGCCAGCACCTCTGCTAAGCTACAGATTAATGTCATAATTACATGCCTCGGGGGCAGACACAAGAGGAATTGCAGATATAGCGTCTCAACAGTGGAAGGGACCTTTGAGGGCCATTTAGTTCAACTTTCACTCTCAAGCTCTGCTGTTGTTGGTAAGATTTCCATCTTCCCCTCTTTGGACACCTCCGCTGATGAGGAACCCCTTACTTTACAAGACTTCCTAGGCTCGCCCTGAGTAGAAACCTAAAATTTCCAACAATTGCTTTCACTTCCATCCTCTGGCAAATGGAGACACACGGAAGGCTCTATTTTCTTTCTTCCCTGAGGAAAGTCGAATTATTTTCTGTGTCATTCTAGTATTAAATGAACTTGCTTTATTCTCGTTCTCTGAAAAGTGTTAATTTTCTACTAAACAGAAAATATTATTAATCAGACACACCCTTCCTGGACCGAAATAGACATTTTGCTGTATTTACTTTTTAAGAGAAACCCCTGGAGACAAACATGCCAAGACTCAACGCAGGTATTTGAGTGATGTGAATCCTAGACACATGGCCAGCCAGCAGGACATGGCTCACAAGGCCCTCAGCTGCTTTCTCCACCCATCCAAGGGCCTGGCCCTGCTGCAAGGACTGCAACTGCAGCTGTGTAGGGTCTTGAGCAGGGTAACAGGGAAGAGGACCTGCACCAGGGGTAGCAGCTCCAAGCCCCATGCTGGGTCATTCTGATTGTGCTTATGAGCTAGAGCAACAGAAGACCCACTGTATTTGAGAGCATTGCTTTTAAAATTAATTTTGTTTATTTTTTTCTTATTTCCTAATAAAAATGTAGAGAGAGCAAAAAAGCCATAGATATCCTTAGAGAACCATTTGTGTATGACATATCCTTTCGGCATCTTCCTATGCATATATTACTCTTTACAACCATAAAAATAAACATAATTAGTGGTAGCTGAGTGTTTGCAAAAGTGGAAATATTCAGCTATTTTGTATGGAAATTATCTACAACAACAGCACAGCTCTGTCTGGCACGGGACATACTGTAGAGAAGGCACAGCTTTGCATGAGTCTTTGATATGCTTGGGTTCAAGGCACAGGAGCACATTGCTGACCATACACCAAACCACAGGATTTCTCAGGAATTCTTTTTAAAAATGCTAAATGATCCATTTGAAAGAGAAGTGCAGCTTTGTCCGTGACCAAGCCTGCCTTTCTCAGACTTCTAATTCTGTTGCTTTCCTTTCTCTTAGATGGAGAGACAAATGTCCGTGAACTCCAGCATCATGGGGATGCAGGGTCCAAACCTCAGTAATCCCTGTGCTTCTCCCCAAGTCCAGCCAATGCATTCAGAAGCCAAAATGGTAAATAACAGTGATAATCATCCTTGCATGAGTTCACAACTTTTTCTTTTGACTTTTACTCTGACTCCAACATTTCAGTTAAGCCAGGTAGAAGGCTCTGTCTTTGTTTTGGTGAATAGGTCTTTCTGTGCAAAGGCAGTACAGAGATTGGCTCACTCTTTGAGGATATTTGTTACGGACTCTTGGCGTCCGATAACCAGTAACAAGCATTGAATTGGTGCGTGGTGTTAATGAAAGGGACATTGAGACCTTTAGGGAGATCCATAGGAGTTGGGGCGAGATATGCCCAAGTACGGTATACATATTTGCTCATCATGTGAAATAACAAGAGTAGTCCAGAGCTTCTCCTTCTTTAAGGTAGTTACAGTTTCAATGCTGCTCTTCCTGTTGTAGAAATACTTTGTGTGTTTTGTTACAGTTGTCAGATGTGATGTTGATTTGAACGGATGAGAGCCTTATTTTCTTGCAACCCTCACTGAAATGCATGATTTCAGGTGATAACCTCCAGTGACTTTTAACATATGATATTTGCGTGCAGTTAAGGTCAGTCTTTACAATCACAGTGATAGACTTATGCATCTATATTCTACTAAATATTAATAAAAGCCGTGCATGTATGTTTTCACAATATTAAGTAAACTTGCTGGTTATATTTAGCGGAGTTACTTGAAGTAGGTCATCCAGTTTTCTGAGACCACAATTAGTAATGTTATCAGATGACAGCAAAATACGCTGCAGCAGATTTTTTCATATCTGATATTGGATAAGGATAGCTTTTGTAGAAGTTGGAGATTTATCTGGTCTGCTGACTGGCGGCATTAGGGACTATGTCTGATGGTTGGTGGGAGGATGTTATTGACGGTTCTGAAAGTTAGCCATCAGTTCCTGTGCAGGGGTGGAATCAGACCCAGGGACTTCCTTTTCAATGTCAGCAAGAGTTTTTTTGATGCCTGCTTTGGTCACTTTCTCTTGAAAACTTCACTAATTTGACTTGCAGCTTCTTGACCGAAAGAATCAACTGAACTCTCAGTATTGGCTACCTTGGGCAAATAAAATCTGTGGTCAAGAGAGTTCTTTTTGCTGTGCCACAGTCCCTGTGACATGCCAAATGGCACCAGCCTCTGCAGCAAAGCTCGTTAAATCTTTTTGGAATTGGCAAATATTTTTTCAACTTAAGCCCTGCAGAGCCAAACCAAATACTTGCTGGCAGAATAAAGCTCAAACTGGCATCTGTTCTAGAGACCAAAGTAATGCTATTTACCTTTTTTTTTTTAAAGGAAAAGAAAAAATGAACTGTGAATGTACTTAAGAAAAACAAAATTAAGTTCTCCATGTGTATGAATTAGTCTTCTGGTTCTGAGTCTGAGATGTTACTTCCCCAGATGGATTATTTCCGAATCTTCTTTTTTGCTTCAGGGTCCATATCCCTTTTAAGGGACCTTCCAACCAAACTTTAGGTAGATTGTAAAACACAATTCCAAACTAAATTTATCTGCCAATTAATTTTCTGTGGATTTTGTGCTACCACTTGACTCAGAAGTATCCTACCTCTCTTAATGGCAAAGAAGGAAAATGCTTCCAAAGGTAATAATCATTTGTATGTATGAAATAAATTATACAGTATACAGATTGTATACAGGTTTATAATCATTTGTATGTATGAAATAAATCATACAGTATGGCAAATTAATAGTGAAAATGTCAGCTGGAAACAGAGGGAATTGGTCTGTACTTATAAAAATAGTGTGACCCCACAAATGTTTGTCAAGTTAAATTTACTGAGCAAGTATACCACTTTGATGCTTCGTGTTCTAAGCAAATGACTATTTCCAGGCCCTTGATGCCTGGCTCAGTGCTCTTCATCATGGAGTTGGGGCTTTGGGAACACAGCTGTCCTCTCTTCCCAAAGCTCCCACTTCTACCCCTCTTATTGCCAATGCATTAATCCAAAGAGAAAAATGCTCTTCATCATGGAGTTGGGGCTTTGGGAACACAGCTGTCCTCTCTTCCCAAAGCTCCCACTCCTACCCCTCTTATTGCCAATGCATTAATCCAAAGAGAAAAATGGTAGTATGGGCCACTTATATATGGAAGAGTAGCATTTACTTAGTAGCTTGGAAAAGTGTTAAGCAAGTGAATTTTAATACATCACTAAGCATCTCTGTTTTTATTATGCTTGCTTTATTCACTGGAAAAACCAGTCATTGCCATTAACTAACCATATAGTATTTTCTAGCAGCTTTTGGGCTGCTCAGATGAAAAGCTTTTATGAAATACAAAGCAGTGAAGAAAAAAAAATCTTCCACGATTTTAATGTCAGCCAGAGCCTCCCCAGGTTTCTCTGAACTATGGGCTTTGTTGTTCTATGCCTAATTTTCTTCCTGTGGAAGACTGGAATGGATTCCAGATTTCAACTAAGACTCTTGTTTCACTGTTTTCAAGGACTTTTCCAAAGGTCACACATGGGCTATTGTGATGAATGCACTCCGCAGGGTGTGTTCTCAGAGCACACAAGTAACCAGAGAGCTACAAGGGAGGTGTTGCCCACACCAAAACACTGCAGACTTATTCTCCTGGGGACAGTGGTGTCAGCATGTCCATTTCAAACTCCCTATTGGACTCTGACAAAAGCCATCTTCCTGAATGTCTGGTGAAATTTGGGGGTCTTGGACATAGACAAAAACTTACGACAAGATTACTTTAAATGTACAATTTTGTTAGAAGCTCTCTGACCAGTGACTGCTCATTAGAATGCATCTATCTTCCTTGCTCCAAATTGGTCATTTCTATTGTGGACGAGAGCAAACTGGGTGTCCTTAACAAGCTCCACAGTGCTTTAATCTGGGACATCCTAAATCAAGGAGCACACGGGCTAATCTTTTGATTTGGTGTATGTTAGTGTCAATGTACTGTAGCCACATCTGTCCAAGCTAGTTTTATCATAATTCTGATTATAATTTAGTTTTATGGATTCTTTTTCTGTGCAATTAAGCCAACAGACATAGAGCCTCACAATTATACAAGTACATATGCACATATTAGATTTTGTTTTGGAGTCAGAGCAGACTTCAAGCCCTGAGAGCCTTCCATCTTTCTACCTACCCAAAATATTAGGCTCTTCCTTTCAGATTCCTGGGATTGGTGTGTGTCTTAGATGAAATGGGGTCTGCTAGAAAGAAATTCACTGAATACCTGGTGAACATTTTTAACATTCATAGGGGAAAGGGAGGAAAGGATGAGGATGAGCAGAGAGGAATGGGGAAAGAGAGGAAGGAGACAGAGAGGGTAGGCCAAGTGCAGACACACTGGGACACATTTCCTGTCTCTGTGGGTTGTGGGCTATTCTGTAGTGCTGTGGTGGCGATGTTCTCAGAGTTCTGAAGATTTGTGTTCATTTCTATTTGTGGGAATTAGACCAATTCTGTCTAGCTTTGAAAGAGGTTTTTGTTTTTGCTTTAAAGAAACCCATAATAGGTTTGAAAGCTAAGTCAGTGGTGGTGTTGGGCACTTGGCCATACACCTGTCTTGTGTCTCACTAGTGATGAGGTGACTGCTACCATAGGGAAACCAATTGAAATGAAGGATGGAATATAAACAACTCTTCAGGGAGGTTCCGGCTGCTCTGCCCAGATTTCACCTTACATTTGGACCAGGATTAGCAAAANTAGCTTTGAAAGAGGTTTTTGTTTTTGCTTTAAAGAAACCCATAATAGGTTTGAAAGCTAAATCAGTGGTGGTGTTGGGCACTTGGCCATACACCTGTCTTGTGTCTCACTAGTGATGAGGTGACTGCTACCGTAGGGAAACCAATTGAAATGAAGGATGGAATATAAACAACTCTTCAGGGAGGTTCCGGCTGCTCTGCCCAGATTTCACCTTACATTTGGACCAGGATTAGCAAAAGCTAGGGAGTGTTGGTACTAGGGGGAAGAGAGACAGAGCTGTGACCTGATTTTGCCCTCAGGACAGCACCATGAGAGGCATTGTCTCCATTTTACAGATGAGACAACTGAGGCTCTACGAGGTTAACCCAAACCAATGACATATCTCTTAACAAAAGGTAAAGTCTCAGACTCTAATGACAGAACTTTTTGATCACAACATGGATCCTTTGGATAAAAATAACATATGGTTACCAAATGTCAGTAACCAGCAGATTAAATAAAATTCTTTTGGGTGAATTGGGTTAATTTATATTTACATACAAATGGGAAACAAGAATAGCAGGGATAGTTTAGACCTCCGGATAGCCTGGAAAAGACGTGGAGTGGTTGGTAGTACTGAATTTCCCCCTAGTTTTAACCAGAGCTCTGTAGCCTCACTGACTGGTCCAGTTTCACTGCTTCTTCATCCAAACACATTTTGTCTTGACTTTTCTTATTTTACATGTGTGGCTTCCTCTCTTGATTTATTGGAAACTCCTTGAAAATACTCCTTGTTTCTTGTACTGTGAAAGGCCCCATGAATGAGAACTGAGTTTAACCGAGTGAGTTGAGTTGAAGTAATAGAGCTGGGAGTGGGATGGAGAGGGTAGGCAGCAATGGTGGGGATAAGAGAGGATGAAATGACATGAATTCTAAGCTAAGCAACCAGCATGTAAAGAGTAGCTGACTATGTTTGATTTCTTTGAAAGACACCTAGAAACAACTTCTGTCGTATTTTTTTCTTGAGAGAGAAGCAATCTGTCTGTTTCTTAGAAAACAGAAGTTGGAATATCATTGCGCTCCTAGGAATTGGGAGCGATCAGTACTAAATGTTGTTTTTTTCATTGTGATAGACTGGTCATGCTGTATTTTGGTCCCTGATTTGTTAATACCTCATCTATAGTTAGGTTTGCAGTTTATTGAATACATATATACATTAATGAATGAATGAAAGAAACAGAAAAGACTGGCGAGTCAAAGCCTTTTAGAGGCAGAGGGTACTTAGTGAAGACCTTGTCTAACTGCCTGTTTTCACAAGTGAGGGCACCAAGGCTCGATAAAGACTTAGGGAGATCA